GTGGGAACCCTGGTGCTGTAATGGGAGCCCTGGTGCTGTCGTGGGAACCCTGGTGCTGTCGTGGGAGCCCTGGTGCTATAGTGGGAGCCCTGGTGGCATAGTAGTTTGAAACCATCAATCACTCCTTGGGAGAATGCGGGCTTTCAACTCCTGTTAGGAGTTACAGTCTTGGAAGTTCACAGGAGTAGTTCTACCTTGTCCTGTGCAATCGCCACGAGTCAGCATTGACTCGGTGTGAGTGAGTTTGGTCGTCTTTGGAGCGCTGGGCTGCCATCTGCAAGCCTGCACTTCAAATCTACCAGCTGCTTCAAGGCTTTCAGCTCCTGTACAGATTCACAAGCTGAGAAGTCCTACAGGCAGTGCCACCTTGTTCTAGGGCATCACTATGTGTCAGAATTGACTCATGGCAGTGAGTTTGGGGATTTTGGTTGAATTCCCTTCTAGACCACATGCCCTCATTACTCTTCAATCAGCTGATATAATTCCGGCAGCTCCTCCTTAGCTTAGTGGTGGTACGCTGGCGCACTGGAAGTGGCTTGTAAGAACTGATCTTTTTAAAGCAGGCACCGTGAAATCAGCCATGGTTGAAGTATTTACAGCACAGAAAGTGGCACATACTTCAAATGAAAAATACCCGACTCACGGCCATGGCACACACACTGTCTCACAGTGACCCTAGGGAAAGGGTAGAACTGCCCCTCTGAGCTCCCGAGACTAACTCTCCATGAGAGTAGAGTGTTACCTCACTGCCACTGAGTTGATGCTGACTCACAACCCTATAAGACAGGGTATAACTACTCCTGTGCATTTCCCACGCTTGTAACTGGCATGGGAGTAGAAAGCCCCATCTTTCTCCCGCAGAGCAGCTAGTGCCAGAGAGCAGTCAGTTGCTGTGTTAGTGTGGGTTGCCTGGAGAAGTAAATTCATAGACAGTCATATGGGCTTCATATACAAGAGCAATTGATTATTGAGAAAACATCCCAGCCCAGTTCAGATCAAGTCCATCAGTCTGGTGTGAGCCCATATGTCCAATACCAATCTATAAAGTCCTCTTCAGACTCATGAAAAACACACAATCACACCAAATGCAGACAGTCTTGTGGACCCAGTGGCAACGGAAGCATCTCCGCACTGGCGTGGGTCTCCACATGGTTCCTCCAGGTCCAGGGCTTTAGCATAGTTCCATGAGTCTTGTCAACAGGAATGTCTCACAGGGAGGGAGCCTGTGTCCTGCCTCCAACCATCTCCTTAGCACCTCCAAAGGAGATCATCAAGCTGCGACCTGATTGACAGGCTACACTCCATCCCTTCACTCTTACGTCTCAAAGTGACAACAGATTATGTAACTACCACATTAGTCGACCGTTTAACCACTATGCCACCAGGGATCCTGCCTATAAATAAAGCCTCTTTTAAAAAAAAAAAAAAAAAAGGTCTTTTTCTTAAACTTCAACTTCAGGCCCCGTATAGAAGATGTGTGTTGGCTAACCATTAACACAATGATGACAGGTTCCTTCCAAGTTGCACATATGGCCCAATCAGACCCTATCTCCATATGTGCACTCAGGGCTGTTAGGTGGGCTCTCTAGTCATTATATTCTGGGACCGTGGATACTGGACCTGCTTCTGCTTCTATTTACAAACAGAGGGATGATGGGCAAATAAATGAGTCCTGGTGACACAGTCGGTAACCACTGGGCTGATGCATTCTAGGTCAGTGGTTCAAACCCACTAGCCACTCCAAGGGAGAAAGATACAGCTGTCTACTAATAGAGCTGTCTACCTGCATTCTTTTCGTCCTGGTAGTGCTCCCATAAATAGGGTGAAGCTCCTAAAACCCACCGGACTTTCTGTAAGAAGTGTGGCAAGCACCAATCCCACAAAGTGACATCGTATAAGAAGGGCAAACATGCTCTGCCTGCCTGGGGAGAGCGAAGATAGGACAGGAAGCAGAGTGGCAGAGTGGCACACTAAGCCAATGTTCCAGAAGAAGGTTGAAACTACAAAGATAATTGTGTTGGGGCTTGACTGGGCTGAGCCCAACTGCAGATCAGAGAGAGTGCAGGCTAATAGGAGACACGAGCCTTTTGAATGGGGAGGACATCAGAAAAGAAAGGGCCAGGTGACCCAGTTCTAAGCTGCTTCATGATTATTGACAAAACAAAAATGCGATGCTACAGTCACACTCACACGCACACACTCACGTAGCGCCTTGGAAAACCTGATAAAGAGAGGGTCTTTATGAGAAGGAATTGTCTTGATAGCAGTGGGAGAGAATTGGATGGGCAAATGGGCCCATAGGAAGTAAATCAGGCCAAGAGATTATATTTTTTAAAATGGTTCTCAGGCTCTTGAGCTATTGGTTGAGCCACTGGATCAAGAACATTGGAAACCTTTGTGTTTTTAATCTTATGTGTCCCGTGAGGCTATACGTTCCCACTGGCAACAGTCGTTGACTTCTCTGCCTTGTTCTTTCTCACCATGGCCCACTCCAATCCATGCACCACAGTATCTTGAGCGTTGTTGTTAGCCAACCTGATCAGGTCACTGTGCATCTAAAATTCTTCAACAGTTACTTACCATAACCTAAGCAGCTCACTGTGCCCAGTAAGGGAGACCCTTTGCAAAGTGCTTCAGTCTAAGCAAGGCACAAACACAGAGAGCTTAAGCCAACTGAAGAAAGCGGTATTAAAACACAGGTTTTACAGAGTCAAGCCCAGAAGTGCAGCATGCTACTAAATCACGAAATGGGGAGTAGAGGCAACCCAGGAAGGTGGAAAATGATCAGTGAGCCTCAGAGAGGAGTGAGTCGGTGGAGGTAAAGGGAATTAAGAAAAGAGTGCTTCAAGCAGAGGAAACAGGACCTGTACAAAGATCTGGGACAGGAAGGAGCTAGGCAGGTTCCCAGGCTTGAGAGGCTTCTAGGCTCCAGGAACAGTAAGCAAGAAGCATCGTCCAAAGGAAACTGAAACGATAAGGATGAGGGCAAGTTTG